TACATCATCGTCAGCCAAACAATGTAGGGGCAGGGTTTAAAGTTAATTGACAGGAGTTGTGTTGCTGTTTTTTTCCGACTTTTCTTACAATAATGATAGGTTTAACTATATTATGGCAATAATTTTATCCTTAATAGTACCGTGATATAATATTCCTGAACCCTACTGAATGTAAATATAAGGGTTAAACGTAAGATTTTTTCTATGGCTTTTCTATGGCTTTGCCATTCATTCAAATTAACACGTGAAAATTCTGCGTTCGTCAACCAATGAACGCAAAAAAAATCTACATTCAATCCTTAAAACTGTGTGGACTCTTTGGTGCTTGTGAAGATATCTGTTTTTTAATCTATTTTTTTCCTTGATTTATTAAACCTCCAAAAAAAATTGATCATATGACCATCATGATAGTGAAATATAAAAGTAATATTGGTCTTTAACTACGTGCACTCTCCGCTGCTTGAACTGATAAGCTTATTGATAACATAAGATCTTGATGTAGAATATTATAAAGCATACAGTGGGGATAAATCTCATTTGTGCACATGAGAATTTCAAGAGGTGATGTTTTAAATGCAGAGAAACCAAAAACCCGATTTGCAATGCCTTCTATGATCCATAAAATTTCTGTTCTGTATTTACTCTGGATTATTGGCATTAAGCTCTGTTGGATGGCAAGTGAATATTTAGATTTCCTATCCATTTAAAGGAAAAGAGATGTGGAAGTAGATTTTGTGATAATGAATAACAGGATAATGACAATTTCTTTAATGATTTAACGAGGAAAATTAGACCAAAACAGAAATTTGAGTAAATTTTGTGACAATAAAAAAACTTGATGATGATTGTTAAGCTAATTGCAAGAGATTTAATTTATTTTTATAAAAATTAAAAAAACAGATAATTAGAAACTGATATTTATACAAACTGGAAAACAAATATAATGACTTTTGATTGCTGTCTTAATGATCTAATATTTCAAATAGTAATAATAAAAATTAATTTGGTGTCAGATTTTAAGTTCAAGGAAATACATCTCCTGCTTCTATGTCAGTTTGTGTATATAATGATGTGCTTGATTGCATGAAATATGAATATACATGACTTGATTTGACACCACACCACTATATATGCCCTTATCTCTCTGTGTAATGAACATTGTCCACGTTCATCTCTGTTAGTCAATCCATTCATATTTCCTTGTTAAGATCTAGAATCTCCAGTTTTTCAATCAATGTGGTAGACCTTAAGGCTTCTATATCCATAAAATGAAGATGAAGCACTCGACTGTAAGAATTATAAATAGTGTTATATTGCTCTAGACCCCAAATGATGACAATGATAGGCTCCTGTAAACAATATCTTAAAACTCAGAACGAATGCATATTATCAAAACTAAAAGAGCATATTTGTAATTTGTGACAATAAAAGTTAATGTTTCATAATGAAGCCTATTAGATAATCGGTAAGATAAAAGTCTTTTAAAGAAAATCATGTAGATTCTTAGGTTTTGCTCCTGCTTTTCATAAAGTTTGGTATATATGTACAGAATATAATCCTAGCAGAGAAATATTAATTTGTGAATATCCATGGAACCGTCAACGTCAGGTGTCTTTAGAATAATTTACCGCTCCAAGATGTCTGTAAAATTCGGTACCCCTGAGAATGGATACATTGATAATTTCCTACATTACTTTGTTAAAAACTATAATTAGGACAGTGACGTGACTAATCTATGATATTCTCTTCTGGAAGTTTTTGTTTTGGTCTGTAGTGGTAGTTCTACTTACTTATTCAAGATTTTGAACTAAAGATTGACAAGTTAATTGAAAATATAATAGGAATCTGTAAGACAATCCTAAGAGAAGACTATCTAGTCATCTAGTACAAAGAGAAATCCTTACAAGGCTGTCAGATGGCAAGAGTATAACAGCAGACTATCATCTGAAATGTCCTTTGATTTGATGGAGAAATTGATAAACATGTATTTACTTTTCTAAATGGTAAAGTCTGTAAGCTTCATTAGAATGATACTGTTGTGATTCTGTCACAATAAGGATACCTTTCTTAATAGAATTTATCTGTCTTTCTGTCAGCTGCAAATCAAAAACACAAATACATGTATTTAAAAAGAATATTTATTGATGAGAATTGATTATTGGTTATTGAAGCTTTGTGACTCCATTCTTTACAAGAATATTGCTACTATTTGGACCTGATTTTTAATTGATATTTGATGTGATAGTTGAGTGTTCACAATGTTTAAAGGACATGTTAGTAGTTGTTCAAAATACTTGTTGTCTACTTAGCTATCTGCTGTCAGATTTAGATTTTAGAAAGTGTTATTTTCCTGCTGAAAAAAACAAATAAAATGTTAAAAAAAAGTAGTTGTTTTTGTTGTTGACACAGTTTTGTTTTTTGTCCGAGTTATTCCACAATCAGAAGTATGCGTTCTAGACCTGCAATGTCATGATTAACTTGATTAATTTTGTGTTTAATGGTTTTGCTTGCCATTGTACAAATTTAATTGAACATAATTTAGGGGGGGGAATTTCCTCAGACAGCTAGTATAGTGACCAACAGAAAATGATCTGCAGTTTAAACATCTAAAAACTTTCACAAATTATTCACCCTTTTTAATAAATCATGACATTTTCTGAAAAAAAAAATCCTTGAGGAATTTTATAAACAAACATTTCAAATTTTAAAGAAAATAAAACGTTTTGTTGTAGACCAGACATCATATTGATATTATCAAAACAGAGAATTCAATAACTGTTCACAAGAAATAATTGATTTTCTAAGAATATCTGTTTTTGTCTCTGTCTGTTTTCTGACTGACTGGATGAATTAAAACAAAATACATCCATAGAAATCCTCCATAAATGTAGGTTTAAAGTGACAGTCTACTTAGTTTTATATTTCTTATTGAAATACTTATACCATAGTCTAAAAGCAGTGTTGGAAATATGTTATGGTGAAATTAATTATAGAAGTGCCAGGTCACATGACAGTAGTTCCACAGTAAATTCTTATCAGATATTGAAATTCAATATATTATTGATACAAAAATATAAAATTTTTTAAGTTATTTATGACACGTTACAAAAGATAAAAACCCAGTTTGAGTAAAACTTTCAAGCTGAAGGAGCTGGTACTGTTGCCTAACTTTCTCAATCACGTGACATTTTGACTGACAGTTAGCGTTAAGCTCTAAGTAAGTTAAATCAACCATCCACCCACCCACTTGTTAACCACAAAAACTATACTTGTTATGATGTAACTAATACAAAAACAAAATGGAGTACCATCATTATATTGTCAAGTGAAATAATGATTTTAATTTTCATTCTAAAAATTGTTAAAATATGATTATTTATGAAATTTGTTCAGAGACACTTGTTTTACCCTGTGTTTGTTTCTTATGAGCAATGTTCCAGGATTGCCTATCAATCTCAAAATCTTAACAGATTTTTTGTTTTCTCTTTATAGATTGTTGACCAAACCAATGAATTGGCTCAAGTATGTTTTCTGGGAGTGGATGCTATTTTAGTCATCATCTTAATTACATTAATTACAATAAAAAAAATCTATAAACAATCACCGAAATTATTGGCCTTGTCAATATGGCTGTTGATATTGATATTCACAAATACTCATTTTGGACTGAATACTCTGCGCTCACCGAATGATTCGGTACCCATAGTTTTTTATACTATATTAGTATGTTATATGGTATTACCGTTATCTAAGCGTGTATCATTTAGTCTAGGTATGATACAAATGGTATTAGATATTATTACTAGTGGTGTATTGTCGAATTATAGTACAGATCATATAGGACAACAGGTAAGTTTTATTTTGATAATTTATAAAATAGGGGGCACCTGTTTGTCTCTCTCTGGTGATTTCTGACTGTTATAATGGGGCACCTGTTTGTCTCTCTCTGGTGATTTCTGACTGTTATAATGGAAGGCTAGATGCCACATGACCAGATTATGTTTGGCAATTCATACTTGAAAACTTCATATTTCAATTAACTGTCTGGAAGAAAAATGTAACGTTTATTGTCACTATTTAAATGAATACAAATGAAATATTGTTCTTTGTGAGTATATTCTAATGACATCATAATTATGGAGAATGTCAAGTTAACTTTCCGATTATTATAGCAGTTTTTTTTTTGTTCTGACAGATATTTAAAAAGTGATAAAGGTAGCTAAATTAGAAATTTACCTGGTGCTCATTTATCAAATTTAATATGATTGTCCTTAAATCATAATTTAGTGTGAACGTACTTCATACCTTTCTATATCATAAACGTCATCCTTCTTGTCATTATAATGATAGGAAATTAAGTTAATTACTCAATTAATTAACATCCAGAATAATTAAGACATTAAAATTTAATGGAGGTTAATTACTTGAAAATTACGTATTTTGTGTACAATCCTTCCGTCTGATAATGAAGTCTCATGGACTTATTTGAATGGCTGAATTACACGGAGTAACAACAGTAACAACCTTGTTTATTAGGTAACTTGTGACCTAGCTAGGCCAGTGCTTCACTACATCCTAATATTGGAAGATTTTTTTGAACAATAAAGATTTACTGGAGGTTGAAGATCATGAAATATTATGTAGTTTGATGTTCTTGATACCAGTAATAACACATTGCACATTGTTACCTATCTTTAAAGCCATATCTAGAGCAAAAAAAAAAAGGATTTTTGAATTTAGATTTACTGCCTTATGTACAAAAATTATGAAATAAATAAACAAAATCATAAGTCCTAACCATTAATAAAAATCAATGTGGAATGTATGTCACTGGCAACAGACAATAATTTTAAGAGAAAAAGGACACATCAAAGTTTTTATTTGTGATCCTGGAACTCCCAATATGGTCTCAATGTCCATGAAGTTTTTATCTATAAAACTCTATTGTAGACTCCATAATAAAATTAAAGATTTTTTTTAATGTCTGTTTTTCTCTTTTTCAGTTGACGTCTAATTTTGTTATTTATTTCTGTGCTAATGTGATTGGATTATATCACAAGTTTTTATCAGACTCAGCACATCGAAGAGCTTTCCTAGACGCCAGAAATTCAATTGAATCTGTGATTAAATTAGAACGAGAGAAAAAACAGCAGGTAGGTGTATGACGTTCGTAATTGTATTGGTCTGTGTTAAGTCAACTCAAATAGTTTATTAATCTTTATATATATATATTTATACTATCCAAATAATTTTTATACGCCCACATGTAAGTATGGGCGTATATTGTGGTTGCCCCTGTTGGTCCGTCCGTTGGTCTGTCGGTCTGTCGGTCTGTCCGTTCACATTTACCTCGTGCTCACTCTACAGGCTACAATTCTCTATAGATTCTTTTGATCTTTTGTATGTGTGTCAATATCATTATGAAAATGTGCACTGTGCACACTCTACAGGCTACGATAAAGAGTTTGTTTTACAGTTCACATTTAGCTCTTTATCAAGCTGCTGGTGGGTGTATTCGCTTGCAAAACTTGTCGCAAGCCTATGTTTTGTTTTTGGAAAATATTGATAAAGATGTGTCTGTTTTTCTGTGAATCTTTTAAGGCAGTATTCAAATATCAAGATAGAAATTCAACAATTTGGCTTGGTTTTTTACAAGTTGTTATAATTCTAGTAAGTTGGTGTATGAAATTTCATCATATCACAATGTAGACCTTTCTTTACTATTAATGGTGTTTTTGGATGTATGAATAGTTTTTTCCCTGAACTCTTTTTCAAGACAATAACCAATTTTAAAAAAAAAAAAAACCCAAAACTTGCATCATGTGAAAAATCGTAACTATTTTTTATTAAGATACTGACAGTTTGTATACTTAGTTAAAGTTGATTTAATAATAAGTTTTAGTCTCAAACTTTTTACGGGAGCTGCGGTGGCTCAGTGAGTTAGACGCTTGCTCGCTAACCTGAAGGGCCAGGGTTCAACCCTGGTATAGGTCGAGATAATACCTTTGGATTTTTCAACCCAGTTTCCCTCTGTCAGTGATGCAGGTAAGAGAGGGGCTGACATGGAAAAAGCGTCTAGTCATTCGGATGGGACAGGCTACAGGCTGTGCACGTTAAAGATCCCGCGACAGTTGAAAATCGAAAAAAAGCAGGCTAATGCCAGTGTCCTGGCAAAATTTCTCTCATTGCATCCAGCATGGCGTTGCCCATATTCATTAGCCCACATGGTGCAGAAAAATAGGACGTATTACTCCACTCATTTCATTTCAAACTTTTTACATCATCATATTATTAAGCTTTCATTTTATACAATAAGATTTTTTTTGGTGGAGGTTTTAATACAAAATGTAATAGTTTGTGGTCTAAAACTTTCAATCTCATCCTCTCAACATGAATGATTTACATGTAATGGACAAATATGTTCCCAATTGTCTCATCTTGATTAATTATATTCCAAATTTACTGCTGAAATCCACTCTCAATTTGAGAAATCTTGATGGATACATTGATGTTTTATTAGCACACTCCTATTCTTGGTTTGTAATTACTCTCCCTTAAGACGTGGGATGGTTATTACTCTATTCTAACATGTCTGGAGAATTTGACTAGTCAAAGTACATACGGTATTCTCATAAGATTTGAAATGTCTCCAACAGAATGTAAAATAATTGGTTTTGATAAAAGATATTGTCCTGAGATCTAGTTCTTTGATTAATGTACTTATGTATTGTGAAAATCATTCAAATTTTTGGCATTTAAGTTTCTTGAATCTGAAATTTGTGAAATGATTTTGCTTCCCTGTACTTCATTACACTGTACAGGTCAATATTTTTTGTAGAAATGTGGAAATCATTTTAGTATGAAAAAATATGGATTTCTTCACTGTTACAGATTTCTTGACCTGGCCATGTATTCTCAAAACTATCTTGACCCTAGACACATTGTTAGAAGTAAAGACCATAAGATCGTTTTAAGAATACGTGGCTTGCCCTCAAACTTTTTATATTTTATGACTGTATACTGGTCAAAATTGGTGAAAATGAGCTATATTCATGAAGAAAATAATAAAATTCTGTGATCAGAATATGATTGTTCAGAAATTAAAGTAAAATGAAGGCTCAGAAATGAAGTAAATATTTATTAATAAATCAGAAACTGTGTGACTTTGGTATTATAGCTCTACAATCCTAACCTATGTGAAATTTTCAGCACACAACATGTTACTGAATGTATTGGTCAACTTAAATGATTCTTCAATCAAGAACCCTGACAAAACGTGATTAAATGTAAATGAAAGGAAAGTTAGATGTTAAGTATGATATGGCTTTTACATACCAGTCATCTATTTGACACCCCTCAACTGTCTATTCAACTCTTCCACATATGCACATTTCCTATCAATATGAAATATATACGTATGTATGATTGGAAAGATTCATTAATAATATTTTGAGGGGAATTTTTACCGGCATTGCCTACAATGTTAGAATCGTTACTACATGTATGAATTCTGTGATCAGAATATGATTGTTCAGAAATTAAAGTAAAATGAAGGCTCAGAAATGAAGTAAATATTTATTAATAAATCAGAAACTGTGTGACTTTGGTATTATAGCTCTACAATCCTAACCTATGTGAAATTTTCAGCACACAACATGTTACTGAATGTATTGGTCAACTTAAATGATTCTTCAATCAAGAACCCTGACAAAACGTGATTAAATGTAAATGAAAGGAAAGTTAGATGTTAAGTATGATATGGCTTTTACATACCAGTCATCTATTTGACACCCCTCAACTGTCTATTCAACTCTTCCACATATGCACATTTCCTATCAATATGAAATATATACGTATGTATGATTGGAAAGATTCATTAATAATATTTTGAGGGGAATTTTTACCGGCATTGCCTACAATGTTAGAATCGTTACTACATGTATGAATTCTGTGATCAGAATATGATTGTTCAGAAATTAAAGTAAAATGAAGGCTCAGAAATGAAGTAAATATTTATTAATAAATCAGAAACTGTGTGACTTTGGTATTATAGCTCTACAATCCTAACCTATGTGAAATTTTCAGCACACAACATGTTACTGAATGTATTGGTCAACTTAAATGATTCTTCAATCAAGAACCCTGACAAAACGTGATTAAATGTAAATGAAAGGAAAGTTAGATGTTAAGTATGATATGGCTTTTACATACCAGTCATCTATTTGACACCCCTCAACTGTCTATTCAACTCTTCCACATATGCATATTTCCTATCAATATGAAATATATACGTATGTATGATTGGAAAGATTCATTAATAATATTTTGAGGGGAATTTTTACCGGCATTGCCTACAATGTTAGAATCGTTACTACATGTATGAGTAAAAAAACAAGATTTGAGACTTTTTTCTGGACAACTCCATCCAATAAGCGTTTCCAAGAAATGTTTTGACAGAAAATTTGGGGTCACCTCTTTCTAAAACGAACCTTACATTGTAGGTTACAAATCCTTTTCAAGTGAAATACAGTTCTGTTACAATTTTTAATGTTCCTTTATGGTTATTAGATTAACATTTTGTGACTTTTTTCTGTCAACCTTTCCAAGAATTATTATGACTGATAATGTTGGTCACCTCTTTCTAGAGAAGATAGTAAACAGTCCAGTCTCAAGTTGATTAGTCACCCTCGAGTAAATACAACACAATTTACACTATATTAACTTATATGATTTCTCATCATAGTGAAGGATTATAGTCAAATATTACCAAGATCTCACTTTACTCATTGATTGATTAAATTCTTGATCAAATTTTATTTTCCGTGGAGCTTGGCAGTTATCAGGTAGCCTGTCTGTAATTCTTAATGGATGGATCTTGTAGTAGTGTACATTAATCTTGCTACTGTAGCCAACAGACATAGGTTATTTTTGGGGTGAAATACTCAGCCTTCTTCAGATGTATCACAAACAAAATTCCCAATTCTTCTACGAAATATACCTGGGGTCTTATTCATAAAAAATTAAGTAAAATAAAATTTCAGATTTTTGAGAAGTACAGTAATCTGTTTGCATAAAAAAACTAAATCTAAAAACTATTTAAAATATTTTTGGATAAGTGAAGATGTGGCCTTATGATAATTAGCACACATCTTTTATGTTTGATTTTTGTTTTTTCAGGAGGAATTGTTGGTAAGTTGTATACCAGAAACATTGGTCCAGGAAATGAAAATAAACCTACAGAGAAGCATTTCACATAATTCATCAAAATATTCACCTTTTCAAGAATTGTATGTTCGACACTATGATAATGTCAGGTAATTGACTTTTATCTAAAACAGTGCTTCTCAACAGGGGACAACTCCCCCAGGGTAGGAATGAGGAGAAATCTATTGCCGCCATATCCTATCACGTATTTGGTGAAGTGTTGGTTCAGCAAAATCAGCAATTTTGATCTAACAATGAAACGTGGTTCGTTGATGATAATGGAACGAGGTGATCTGCGACTGAATTGACTGAGTTAAGTTGAATAAGTGGTGATCTAATATCAGTCGTCATGTGAAAGTCCAATAATCATAAAAGAGTGATCTTTCCTCATTATTCCAATCGATCCAGCTGTAATTGGGTATAATAATAATTCGAGAAAGATCAATGCCAAAAAGTAGACAGGATCCTAATGAACCAAAATTAATATTGCATCAATCAGACATCTGTGATTCCTGCAATTCCACTCAAACTGGGTGTTTAATGACGTCATTAATCGCATAATCACATAAGGTCTTTCGCAATTAGCGATGTCATCTTTCACTCAGTTTGTGTGGATTTGCTGGAACCACAGACATCTGACTGAAAATTGGAACGCTGCAAATTGATGCTATCAGTGTCCCGGATACACATGAATAATTCAGAAAACCGCTTTGCAATACCCTTTAAGAAAGATAATCGATAATACATTTTATCAGCCTTATCAAAGTTCTTTATCAATAATCCCATTCTGAGTGCACTAGTTACCATGTTTTATTTGTTATACCATACTGACTTCTTGTACACTTAACAATGCATTGATTTTCTTTTGTTTGCTCTTCAAATTTCTTTTAAAACTAACTGAGATGATAACCTTCTTTTCTCTGATGTTATTTTATTAATTAGATAATTAGTCTCATATTCCATGTTAATCTCTAATACATCTCCTTATCTTGATGGAATATACTTTACACTTTATTGAAAGGTCGCTTTTTATTGTTTTGAGAGAGATATTCTGGAAAAGGATTGTCTTAAACTTTACTATTACAACATTTGGGCATTATGATGACACACCCTTCTTTCTTTTCTTTACAAGGATAACATTTTTAGTTCTAGGATATCTTGTCTACCAGCTGATCTTTAGTCAAACATTTTTCTTGAAGTCCTTCTCAGATTACACCCATTTACAGATGATCAGTTGGAACAATTAAGTTTAAGGACTAATTCAGAGTTACTGTCAATGCTGTGAATTTAGCTTTATATTCCAAACATGACTGGCAGATGTGCTCAAATATTTGTTTTGACAAGAATCTGTGATCTGTAAATGAAGTTTAGTTTGAGCATAATGTGTATGGGCATAATGTGTTGGTCAAAAGTTTAGACTTGAGAACCCACAACCACCATTTTCCATTGATTCCAATTCTCTTCAGACTAATGATGCTAATTAAACTATCTGTTTCAGTATCCTCTATGCAGATATTGTAAATTTTACACCACTTGCCTCTGAATGTACCTCAGGAGAACTTGTTAAAATGTTAAATGAATTATTTGGTAGATTTGATCAGCTAGCTAGGGTAAGTAATAAAATATGAAAGTAATGATATTGTTGTTTTTTGTAGAAGTGTAGAAAAGTGATTGTATGTAGGCCTACATTATATTAATAAAGTTTTTATTATAAAGTCTATGGTAGAAAATTAATTTTTATAATGATAAAGATATTGTCTATTGTAGAAAGTAATTGTATGATATTACTGTCTATTGTAGAAAGTAATTGTATGAATGTAGAATAGTAATTGTATGATATTACTGTCTATTGTAGAAAAGCAATTGTATGATACTTTTGTCTATTGTAGAAAAGTAATTGTATGATATTACTGTCTATTGTAGAATAGTAATTGTATGATACTTTTGTCTATTGTAGAATAGAAATTGTATGATATTACTGTCTCTTGTAGGATACTTTTGTCTATTGTAGAAAAGTAATTGTATGATATTACTGTCTATTGTAGAAAAGTGATTGTATGATACTATTGTCTAATACAGAAAAGTAATTGTATGATATTACTATCTCTTGTAGAAAAGTAATTGTATGATATTGTCTATTGTAGAAAGATAATTGTATGAATGTATAGAAGTAATTGTATGATACTATTATAGAAAAGTAATTGATATTACTGTCTATTGTAGAAAAGAAATTGTATGATATTACTGTCTCTTGTAGAAAAGAAATTGTATGATATTACTGTCTCTTGTAGAAAAGAAATTGTATGATATTACTGTCTCTTGTAGAAAAGAAATGATATTACTGTCTATTGTAGAAAAGTAATTGTATGATACTATTGTCTAATACAGAAAATTAATTGTATGATATTACTATCTCTTGTAGAAAAGTAATTGTATGATATTGTTTATTGTAGAAAGATAATTGTATGAATGTATAAAAGTAATTGTATGATACTATTATAGAAAAGTAATTGATATTACTGTCTATTGTGGAAAAGAAATTGTATGATATTACTGTCTATTGTAGAAAAGAAATTGTATGATATTACTGTCTCTTGTAGCAAAGTCATTGTATGATATTACTGTCTATTGTAGAAAAGCAATTGTATGATACTTTTGTCTATTGTAGAAAAGTAATTGTATGATATTACTATCTCTTGTAGAAAAGTAATTGTATGATATTGTCTATTGTAGAAAGTTAATTCTATGAATGTATAAAAGTAATTGTATGATACTATTATAGAAAAGTAATTGATATTACTGTCTATTGTAGAAAAGAAATTGTATGATATTACTGTCTATTGTAGAAAAGAAATTGTATGATATTACTGTCTATTGTAGAAAAGTAATTGTATGATGTTACTGTCTATTGTAGAAAAGTAATTGTATGATGTTACTGTCTATTGTAGAAAAGTATTTGTATGATATTACTGTCTATTGTAGAAAAGTAATTGTATGAATGTACTATCTATTGTAGAAAAGTAATTGTATGATATTACTATCTATTGTAGAAAAGTAATTGTATGATATTATATCTATTGTAGAAAAGGAATTGTATGATATTACTGTCTCTTGTAGAAAAGTAATAGTATGATATTACTGTCTCTTGTAGAAAAGTAATTGTATGAGAATCAAGATACTAGGAGATTGTTATTACTGTGTATCTGGTGTACCTGAACCTGATATTAACCACGCTACTAATTGTGTTAAAATGGGACTTCGTATGATAGAAGTTATCAGGTAGGTTTCATACAGTATTTGACTTTTAACTACCAAACTAGATTACAAAATCAATACTTATAACAACTGAAAAGTTTTATGTTTAGAATGTTTCATAATAATTAGCAAAATGCTGGTTTGAACTCCCAAAGCGTGATTAGCAACACTACAATGGTGTTTCTATGCAACTTTAGATAGGGAGGGGGGCGAATAAGGGCCACAGAATTGTCACTGGGGGCTCACGGATATTGTTTTCCCCACGTACAATAATAAGCCAAATTTGAGGACCAAAGCCATGCTTCCTTTTTTTCTGCCACCTCGACACTAATAAATTTTTGGCTTAAGCATGCTTTTGGGTTAAATATCCAGTAAGTTTTAAAAAAAATTTGTACCTCAACCTTATATCCTACACTGTATCTAATATTTACTGATAATATTTATATATAGAGATGTACGAGAAGCTACTGGTGTTAATGTTGATATGCGTATTGGTATACATACAGGATCAGTACTATGTGGTGTATTAGGACTACAGAAATGGCAGTACGATGTATGGTCTGATGATGTTAATATAGCTAATCAGATGGAATCAGGTGGTGTACCTGGGTATGTATTCTATCCTGCTACGAGATTTAAACATTTTTTTCTCTTTCAGATATGAGATATCTGTTAGCCCAGGAAAAAATAACTCAGATCATTTCAGGAATATTGATAACTAAGACGATAAATTTGACCGTCCATTTTTCTTCGTCACCGGATGTCATTTTCAAAAGATACAGTCATCTGAATATTATAATAATTCATCAGCTGATAGCACTGAATTTCAATTGTCAGAATCGTCTTCATTTCAACTAATCATATCAGGCAAATTATGGTCTGTGGACTATGGACTATGTTTTTTTTTGCAGGATGTAATCAACCTTCTCATGTTTTATGAAACTCGTATAAACAGACTAGAACAATTAAAGCCTGTTATTTCAAATTCCAGCAATAAATATTTAAAATATACAGAAAATCGACTTTCCAATATCTAGTTTAATGTCAAATATTGCAGATGTAACCTTCTATTATTATTGTAATTAGCTACTGTAAATACGGACATGAATATCTCTATAGTTCAATAAACAGTTTAAACTTGTGTCTTTCAGGAGAGTTCATATATCCAGTAATACATTAAAATGTTTAGGAGATACGTATGGTGTAGAACCAGGAGAAGGTCATTTACGCAGTCCATTTTTAGCAGAAAATAACATTACTACATATCTTGTTATACCACCTGTTAAAAGGGTAGGTGTTGCCTTAATAATGTTTTGTTTTTTTCTGAAGTTTGCAGATTGTTTATAGAAATGTAAAACAATGTCAGTAATTCTGATATATGCTAGAAGTGTAAAGGAAAGCACCGACTGGTGTTTCAAGCTTTACAAACTAGGGCTTATATCACGCTGTTAATGCATTTTTTCAGATATGAAATGTTCTTTAGGGCAGCTAGTATTAAAATGCTTGCTCCATTTGTGTATGTGCTAATTAAGTAACATCCATCATCATTCTACTTTTTGTATGTGTTTCAACAGTTAGGTTTTAAATTTTGTCTTTTAATTACAGAAATATCGAGTAGCTCAGAGATCGAGGTTTGAGAGTAATATGAGAGCATCAGTTAAAGTATCTAAATATCTGGAAACATGGGGTATAGATCAGCCTTTCTCTAATCTTCATTCCAATTCGATGGTCACTCATGTACTTAGTTTAACTGTAAGTAAAATTTCACCATATTAAATATTACATTCCTAGTAATAGAACAGTACAAAAATCACATTTATATTTGTTCTTATTCAACCCCTATCTAACACATGAGAACTTGTAGTTTAGATTACATTTTGGATTCTGTTAAATATAATGAAAGATATGTTATATTTCAGAGTTTAGCTCTTTTGATATTTCAGAGTTTAGCTCTTCTAGTAAATTCTAATATGATGTTAAATATTTGATATTTCAGAGTTTAGCTCTAGTAGATTCTAATATTATGTTAAATTCTGATGGAATTGATCAAGGGTATGTATATTTATGTTACTATTTTTCTTCAGGCTATATAGAATTGGATAAAACTTTGCAAGATTTTTTTTCTTATAATTTATATTTGAATAATCCTTCTTAGAAAAGATCAAGAATGCTTCACATTTTTTTATTTTACGATGCTTTGTTAATGGTGTAGGTGAATAATAGAGCACCAGAAGCTGGTGATGTTAACACACTCTTTTCCTTAAGCACATAAAAACAACTGACAAAACACAGGGAACATAAGGTAGAAAAATTTTGTTTTGTTTCAAAGACCACAATACATTGATATGTTATTGACTTCCGTAATTGTCAATGTAAGAACTGCAACTATAGGCATATGTTACCTTACTTGACCAGATTTTAAAAAAATTCTACTGATTAATTTTTCAGACTAATTGGATTAAAGAAACAAATACAAACTGAAGTAAATACAGAGTTAGAAAAACAGTTGAAAAAGACAGTCAGTCATAGCAGGTAAGTAAGTGATCATTTTTGTATTTTTCTCCATGTGGAATGTCAATCATTAATATGGATACTAACAAATAAAATCATATCAAAATATCAACGGAAAAAAATACATCTTATTCCTTCTTGTGCATACAGAGTGTGATTGAAAATGGTGTTATTTTCATTAATTTAAATTACGAAAAGTCAAATACAGAAGATATAAAAACAAAAATTTTAACCAAGATGTATATTGTTGGTTTCAGATGTCAAGAAAGTCAAGATATTAATCCCTGTTTAATAATATTTGAAGATAAGAATTATGAACGAGAGTTTAGTAATGAGAATGATGGGATGTTTTCTTATTATATCATGTGTTCCTCTGTTATATTTCTATCTATAGTTATAATACAAGGCATCATGCTACCAAGGTAAGAGGCTAGTTTGACTTTGACAATCAAAATAGTTGGTGTTTATGTTTTTTGTGACATTAATGATCAAACCCCTAAGCTAAACAGTCCATTTCTTGTTTTAATGCCTTTCAATACATATCTGATGCACCAAAGCAATTCAGTGACAATTTATTGTGATTATAATGTATTCCTGATGAATTTTGCACTCCAAAATTAGTGTTTTTGTGACGTAAATGATCAGGACACAATGCTTTCAAGTTTGGTGGTCCTCTATATAAGAACGTTCTATAAATTATACACAAAAACAATTGTGTGACAAATTTATTGTGTATTGGAAAGGCACATTGTCAAGTTGTTATTTGTTATTACAGATCTGTGATATTTTATATAAGCTAATATTTGTTATTACAGATCTGTGATATTTTATATAAGTTGATATTTGTTATTACAGATCTGTGATATTTTATACAAGTTAATATTTGTTATTACAGATCTGTGATATTTTATATAAGCTAATATTTGTTATTACAGATCTGTGATATTTTATATAAGTTAATATTTGTTATTACAGATCTGTGATATTTTATATAAGTTAATATTTGTTATTACAGATCTGTGATATTTTATATAAGTTAATATTTGTTATTACAGATCTGTGATATTTTATATAAGCTAATATTTGTTATTACAGATCTGTGATATTTTATATAAGTTAATATTTGTTATTACAGATCTGTGATATTTTATATAAGTTAATATTCGTTATTACAGATCTGTGATATTTTATATAAGTTAATATTTGTTATTAAAGATCTGTGATATTTTATATAAGCTAATATTTGTTATTACAGATCTGTGATATTTTATATAAGTTAATATTTGTTATTACAGATCTGTGATATTTTATTTAAGCTAATATTTGTTATTACAGATCTGTGATATTTTATATAAGTTGGATGTGTGGTCTGTTGTTGTTATGTATGTTATTAATCATATCTTCTATTCAACATTGTCTGGTAAGTTTAAAGCACCTGTCATATCTAGGTATCAGCTCTGCTCTTCCACAAGATTTCTCTCATTGTACAATGCATATCAAATGGCATTTCTATATTGATTAGCTTTACAAAAAGATTAAAA